TCGTGGACTACAGCCCACTTCCTGGGCTGTAGTCCACGAAAGCTTATGCTCTAATAAATTTGTTAGTCTCTAAGGTGCCACAAGTACTCCTATCATTTTATAGTTTATTTTAGCACACTATATGTGCAAATTGGTGAAAAGTCATCTGAAAGCTTGAGAATTGTAAGATTTTTGTTACAATTTATTTTATTTTCTGCAAATAAAATAAACAGTTTTTTTCGATTGGGGAAAAAAATCAGAGCTGACTTTGCAGTTTGTATGTCATGTTTCAGCCTGTTTCAATATGAAATAGTTGAAAGATTAACCTTTATGCGGTGGGATTTATAAATATTCTCAAATTTATTTCAATTAATATTGCTTTGTAAAGTCTTCTCTGGCTATTTGTTAGCACTAAATTAGCTGATTCTTTTTTAATATTGTATATGCAGATGGAACATGGCATGGAGAATTTACTGATCACCAGGCTCACCTCATTGTTCAAGATTCACATAAGAGTGGAAATGAGTCAGATCGTGTCAGTAAAACAGGCCATAAACCTGCTATTAATGTACCGGATTTTCTTCCAGCAATGCAGAAAGCCCTTTTTGTAAGACTTAGTCAAAAACAGCAAGAAGATGGAGAACCAATCAGCAGTCAGTCTCAGAGGGCAATGAGCAAGGAAGAAGGTAATGTTAACTGTTACATTCTAAACAAAAATGTTCTTTTATATTGTGTCAGTATAATATTCCCATTTTTATTTTGTGACTATTTCCATTAATTACACTATGCCTATATAAGTTCCTACTTTAATTTCAACTGAATAACTTATTCCTTGCTTCTTTTCCTAACCTGTTCTTTAGTTTTTCTGTGGGCTCTTTAATACAGTAGCACCTCAGAGTTAGGAACACCTCGGGAATGGAGATTGTTCCTAACTCTGAACAAATTATAGTTATTTGTGCAAAAGTTTATAATGTTTATAATGTTTATAATGAATGTTGACATAATACAGCTTTGAAACTGTACTATGCAGAAGAAAAATGCTGCTTTTAACCCTCTTAATGTAAATGAAACAAGCACCTTATCAAATCTCTTTTTAAACTTTTTCTTTATTTAGTAATTTACATTTAACACATTTTTGTTGTTGTTGTCTCTGTTGCTGCCTGGTGGCATGCTTCTGGTTCCCAATTAGGTATGTGGTTGACCAGTCAGTTCACAACTGGTGTTCTACTGTATTAGTCTTGGTACCAGTCTTATTCGTTATTTTTATTAATAACCATGGGGCAGAAGTACAACTGTGCTAATGAAGTGTGCTGCTGATACAATTTTGGGAGGCATCCTCAATACAGAAGGAGGATCAGAATATTATACAGAAGGTCTGGATGACCTTGACAACTGGAGCAACAGAAATGGGATGAAATTCAATAGTACAAAAGTTCAAGGTCATGCACGTAGGGTCTAATAATAAGAATTTCAGCTACACGCTGGGGAATGGATGGCCAGTCTTAGGAGACTGAGTGTATGTGTACACTGCAATTAAAAACCCACAGCTGGCCCATGCCAGCTTACTCAACTTGCGGGGCTCGAGCTGTGGGGCTGTTTCATTGCAGTGTCGGACTTCCGGGCTCAAGCTGCAGCCCAAGCTCTGGGACCCGGTGAGGTGGGAGGGTCCCAGAGCTTGGGCTGCAGCCTGAACTCGGAAGTCTACACTGTAATGAAACTGTCCCACAGCCTGAGCCCCATGAGCCCGAGTCATCTGGCATGGGCCGGCCACGAGTTTTCATCTGCAGTGTAGACATACCCTGAAAGGGCTTGGCTTGTTTAGCCTAGCAAAAAGAAATCTGAGAAGGGGATCTGATTGCTGTCTATAAATACATTAGGGGGCATACATCAGGGAGGGAGAAGAGCTATTTAAGCTAAAGGACAGTGCTAGCACAAGAACAAATGGGTATAAAGTGGCCATGAACAAATTGGAGCTGGAAATTAGAAGGTGGTTATGGAATAGCCTCCCAAAAGGAGTTGCAGGGGCAAACAGCTTAATCAGTTTTAAGAGAGATCTGCACAAATTTATGAGTGCAGTTGTATGAAGTGGTTGCTTGTGATGTTGCGGGGCAGAGCTTAGCAGCTCTGGGGCTCACTCTTGGTTTGTCTTGTGTTCCTAAAAGCTCATGGATCAGGGCTTCAGCCAGCCATCTGCAGTTGTCAGGAAGGGGTTCCCCCGCCCAGTATATTAAGAGTGGGGGAGGGTTGGTCTCCTTCCTCGGAAGCATCAGAGATGGCTGCAGTTGGAGATGGGACACTGGACAGTGTCGGCCAGTGCTCTGAGGTGACACCGAGCATTCAGGTGCTTGGCTGGTTGGTTCTTGCTCACTTGCTCAGGGCCTAACTGATTGCCATATGTGATGTCAGGAAGGTATTTACCCCCAGATCAGGTGGACAGCAATCTTGGGGTTTTTTCATTTTCTGCTTCAGAGTGTTGGTGCTGGTCATTTGACAGAAATTATCTGGGTACTAATAAATGTGTTAGTCTCTAAGGTGCCACAAGTACTCCTGTTCTTTTTGCGGATACAGACTAACACGGCTGCTACTCTGAAACCTATCTGGGTATGGCTCACTTAATCACTTCCCTGCCATTGAAGTGCCGTGGGAATTGGTGCACCTCAGGCATTCCTGTTCTCTCTCTGCAGTCTAGTCTCCTCTGGGCTGTAATATTTTGATCCAGCTTCAGTTGTTGGGTTTAGAGTGTGGATACTGAGTGGTGTTGGTGGCCTATGACCTAGAGCAGACAAGACTAGATGATCCGGTGGTCCCTTCTGGCCCTAAACTTTGACTCTATTGCTTCCTTGAAGGGAGGGCAGATTACCTGTTTCGGTTAAAGAAGGATCAGTTTTGCCACTGCCCAGGAAATCATTGGCAGATGCTGACAATCTGCCCAGCTATCACCCTGTGTCCTGTCTTCCAGTTTAGTTCAAGATTATCAAAAAGGCTGTGGCAAGACAACTCTTGTAGTATCTAGTGATCTCAGACCTCCATGATAATCTGGGTGTGATCCTATCTGGGACATAGACTGCATTGGTAGATTCTCTCTTCCTGGCAATGGATGAAGATAGTGTTCGTGCTGGCATTATTAAATCTATCAGCTGTCTTCAGTGCTGTTGATCACGATGTGTTGCTGACTCACCTTCAAATCACATCAGTGGCAGACGGGCTGCTTTAGAGTGACTCAGTTCTTTCCTTGTAGAGCATCCTCAGAAGGTGGCGGTAGTAGTAAGAAACTGCTCCTCCTCTCTTAAGGTGCTTACACATGGAGTCCTCTGGATTTCATCTTATAACACCTATTATTTAATGTTTATAGGGAGCTATAAGGGTTAGTAAGGGAACATGAGCTGTGGTGTTTTCAGTATATGGATGCCACTCAGCTTTGTCTTACTTTCATCTGACTGGTCCAAAACAGTCAGTGATCTTATTCAGTGTCTGGGTGAGACTGGGGCATGGATTGAAAGTGAGTTGGTTGAAACTTATGCTAGACTTGACTGAGGTGATGTTGATGGGCTGGAAGATGATACTACAATTACAGGGCTTCCCACTAACTGCAGTAGTGGTTGTTAATTTGTTCTCAATAATCTAATATTGTTTAAATACCTTCCCTTATCTCCCTTTCTGGAACCTGATTTCTCCCTGAATCCCTTACATTTTGGGTTTCAAATATGAAAGGGAAATAGAGTAGCGGTTCAGCATTTCCACCTTATCCATTTAAGACAGCAGCAAGCCCTGTCTTTCCCCCCTCAACCAACAATAAAGGTCACTTACATCAAGATTCATGTGTTCAAAAATACATTTTTTATGAAATTTAAGTTAGAATTGTTGACAGGAATAGTTATTTTCTGACACAAAAATATTGGAAGAGGTATACGAGAGAAGAGAAAGCAGCAGTTGAGTATTTATTCTTAAGTTGTTATAACTAGATTTTTTTTTTTTTTGCTCACTTCCACTAGCTGATTTCTGGGATCCTAATTTATAGTTGCTATTACCTTATTTTGCTAAGTCTTAACATCAGACAAAAGCCAGTTATTAAGAAATTATACTTAGTTCAAAGTCTATTGAATCTCCAATGATCATTTGTTTGATTAATCTTTGTTTTCTTTCAGATGATAATGTAAACTGGTACTCCAGTAGTGAAGAGGAAGAGGGAAGCAGTGTTAAATCAATATTAAAAACCTTAAAGAAACAAACTGAAAATATTAGGAATCGGCAACAACATTCCACAGAACAACATATGGTGGTTGTTCCTACTGATCCAAGACTTGCTAAAGAGAAATGTACAGGAAACCAGGCTGTTGATCCGAGACTGAGATCCACTCCTAGATCAAATACTAGGAAACCTACAGAGTCGTCATCTTTTGACCCAAGGCTTGCACGGGATCCCAGAATGTTAAAGGTTAATGAAAGTGGTCTTGCAAGTTCTTCTGTTGGTGGAACAAAGTTAGATTTACATCATGCACCCACTGGAGTGAAGGTCAAGCAAAAAGGAATGGATGATGATGAAGAGGATGCAGAACGAGAATTGAGAGAGAGAGCTTTTCTAATACCTTTGGAACCTTTACCTGGTGTAACATTAAGGGATCCGAGATCTCAGCTTCGACAGTTTAGCCACATTAAAATGGATATTATCCTGACCAAACCAAACTTTGCTAAACATATTGTATGGGCTCCTGAAGATCTACTTCCAATACCCTTGCCTAAACCTGACCCGGTGTCTTCAATTAATTTACCTCTTCCTCCACTTATAGCTGACCAGAGGCTTAATAAATTACGTAATTTAAAAAGTGATCCCCATCCAAATGCAATGCCAGCTGACCCAAGACTGGCAGCAAAAGCAAAAAATAATATAACAAGCAGAAGTGGCTCTTTGGATCAATCTGCAGATTTGCACGCCAGTAGTTCAAGCAAATTAGGAGATCCTCGCTTACAAAAAAATGTTGATCCCAGACTCCACAGACTGTCTAGTACAGATACTCACCATGGAATCACAAAGGATTCTCATCCTCCAAAATTTGACCCTCGTCTAACCAGATCTGGTATTGGTTCATCCCAGCCCTCAGAAGCTGTAATATGTAAATCTGACCCGGACATTCTGCCTCCTTATGCACCCAAACTATCATCAACGGGTGTTAGATTGGGAACTCCAAGCTCAATACTTAGTGGTATTAGTTTGTATGATCCAAGAGACCACAGTTCATCTTCATTAGACCCAGCGCCAGTTAATTCAGGAGAGAATGGAGAGAACCAGAAAAAAAGTATTTTGAAAAATACTAGCAAAAATGAATCTACTCTGTCAGAAGACATGTTGCCACAGAAGTCTGTCCCAAATATGGATAAAAATACAGAAGGATCAGCAGAGGCCAATTTAGAAAAAGCAAATAGCATCAATAAATCTCAGGCTAAGCACTCCAGTACTGCACCAGCAGTGCATAATCTTCCTATCCAAGCTTTATCAGGATTGATCAGACCACAGTACAGTGATCCAAGGCAAGTTAGACAGCCTGGACAGGTAAATCAAATGCAAGATAACGATCCGAGTGGGGAATCTGATGATAAGTCACTAAAAGATGTTTTCAAGACTTTTGATCCAACTGCTTCGCCATTTTGTTAGCAATTGATTTATTAAGTCTTTTTACGGTTGTGAATATTGCAGTTTTCTGCTGTTTTGTAACTGGTTTACCTATTTGCTTTATTTATTTTTAAATTATAATTATCAACACTTTTCAGCTGCTAATCTCAGAACCACATGCAGTTTCACAGTATGCTATAGTGTTTGCACAGTATTTTCTATATAATACTTTTCCAATTTCAGGGAGACTAATAATTGACATGTAGAAAAGACCCTCTATCATGTTAGATCTGATAAAAGCACTTTCATTGTAAATAAGTCATTATGAATTCAACTCGGAAGACCTGTATATGTGTAAGCTGTCTCTTTCATAATCAACATTTAGATATAATGATTGCCACTTTTGTATGATTGTATAGATTCAAGCAATATGATGTACATTACTGTGAGAGAGACTAAGACAAGAATTGTCTTACTTATCAAGCCAAACCTACTTACTGAAATATACATAAATGAAGTAAAAGGAAAATGTTGATCCTCCTTTTCAGAGTAGTTGATGTAAGGCATTGTTTTTATTCATGCAGTCAATATTCTTAGTGTAAAAGATACCTATCACATATTGAGGAGTTAAAATGTCATATCTTTTTAAAGTATTTTATTCTATACTGTATATAGAAGAAATTGTGAAGTACATAACTAGAAGAACATTACTGTTAAAGTGGAGAATACCTAAGTTGTCTAATACAAAAAAGTTTATTTAATTTTTCATGCATACACAATTCTGAATTAGTGCGATAGCTTACATTTTGGTGTTCATGTATTTCAATGTATTTTTGTATTCAGACGCTTAATTTGTATTGCTTTTTTTGTATTGATGTAACTGCAGTACTTGTATTCATTGTGTCTTACGACATTTTTAACAAAAAATTAAAAGATACAATCAAAGTCTGGTAGTTGCCTTTAAATTGATACGCCTACTAAAATACCAGATAGTTACACACACGGAAAACAGTAATTGAGCACCTCTGAAGCAGTGATGATGATTGAACTTGCTGTATTATACTCACTTGCCACAAGAACTTGTGTCCCAATTCTGCACTTCTTTAGTAGGCAAAACTCTCCTTAATTCCAAAGGGAGTGTTAGCTCAGTCATGGCTTCAGGGTCAGAGCTTAGTAAGAGAGAGGGTTGGGGTTCTACTGTCCACAGTTTTTAAAAGATGTTGAAAAACTAGAGAGGGTTCAGAGAAGAGCTTCCAGAATGATTTGAGGATAGCTCCTTAAAGTGAGAGACTTTTAAGGACCCGAGCCTATTTAATTTATTAGAAATTTAGCCATGGCTGTAAATATCTCCACAGGGAAAAGATATCTTTAATACCAGATAAAGGCATATCAAGAGCCAATGGCTCGAATTTGAAGATGGCAAAGTTCAAACTGGAAATAAGATGAAAAAAAATTAATGGCAAGTGTAACTAATCATCAGAACAGCTCACCTAGCGATGTGGTAGATTCTCCATCACTTGTGGTCTTTAAATTAGCCGATCAGATTTGTGGGTTTTGTGATAAAAGCATGAATTTTGCCACAGTCTCAGGGCATGGCCTAATAAAGATTTTCAGATATGGGGCCATTGCCAACTCTTAAAATGTCTGCCAAAGCCAACATAACATTGTCCTAATTGGCAAATAATATTGTTTTACAGTTGGACATACAAGGGGTGTATTCTTGAGTTTGCTTCAACTTGACCTTAAAATTGGTGAACACATTTTTTACTAATTTTGATTGTCAATGTGGTCTTGGCAGAATTTAATCACATTTCCCTTTTTTCAGATGTTTCCTTGGTTTTATGAAAGCTGCTTGGTGATTGGATAATATTAACTTTACACAGTAGCTAAAAGATATTAGATTACTATTGGCTATTACAAGTGCTTCAAACATGTTAAAAAGATATACACTTGCTCGAGAGTCAGCTCCATCAACAGAGACATCTCATGCCTCTACGGACTGCAGCGAGTATGTGTTATGCCAGAAAGAGACAGATGCAGAGTTGATTAATCCAGCAGAATCAAAAAGATAGTATGCTGGATCTGGCTATCAAACTCTAGAAGAAAATATCAGGTGTTTCCATAAGATGTATGCACTTGTATGCATAGATATATGCAGATTAGATTATGCTGATTATATTGAAAAAATTCTTTGAACAAAAAAAATGGATGTTGGCACAAATCTTGCTACATGAAGTTTAACAGGACCAAACTTAAAAGGGCTGGGGGAGCTGAGAAAGTTGTGGCTCAAACTGAAGAGGAAATACACACGTTGAAGAGACCAACAGGAAAAAAAGGCATCCTTTGTTTGTGAAATGAACATACTTTCAGAAGACCTCCATGAAGTTTCTGCCCTCGGCATTGATAGTCCGACTAGTTGCAAGTGTGTACTTCAGCTGCAAAATCAGTGCTTGTTTGCAAAACTAAGTGTAGCAGACTTAACGGCCCAAGAGACAATATGTCATACAACATGTTTGGTGTCTCTCTACAACAAAGTCAGGGAGAAGAAAACCAAGCAAAGCAACACAGAGAATATGTTGCATGGAATTGCCTTTGTTGAACTGATAGCATACGTTGAAGAGACTAGGCTGAATGAAGATGTGGCTGAAATCTTTAAATTAGCAGGCCTCACAAGGTTCTGTACAGCTAGATTAGAACAGCTGGGGATGACACTGGCTGGGTAGATTCACAGTGCTGAACTAAAATCCCATATTCTTTCATGCATTGCAGATCTCTAAGCACACACAGAAGTATATGATGTGCATCTTGCCTTCAACCAGAATATTGGACATCCCCTCCGAAAAGCATGTGAGGAAGACTGTAACGAAGAAGCACTTCACCTGTTCCAAACAGCAAAAATTATTCAAAGGGACATGTTTCAAATGAAAACAGTTTACTGGATCATTTGACGCAGGATGCCAAGTAAAATGTGTTCCTGAGTGATTATTGGCATTGATGTCCATGATATTGGATGGTCCAAACATTTAAAACTCAGAACAAATTTCCATTCATTCAACTACCCTTATTTTGGCACTACTATTGCAGTACAACAACAACATCCATTGCCACAAAGGAATAGAAAATGTGTACCACAACAAAGCTCAATAAATGCCTTTACCAATCTGCATATGCAGGGCTGTTATAGCCACGTTGGTCCCAGGATATTAGAGAGACATGGTGGGTGAGGTGATATTTTATTGGACCAACTTCTGTTGGTGAGAGAACCAAGGATTTGAGCTACACAGAGCTCTTCCTCGGGTCAGCTGGAAAGCTTATCTGACCAACAGAAGTTGGTCCAATAAAATACCTCACCTACCTTGTCTCCCTTAACCAATCTATGTTGGTTTTACACTTCATGCACAGCCATGAATAAGTGATCTAGTAGCTACCTTCTTTAAACTTGGATTGTCCATCTCCTATGACAGCGTGTCGGCCACTTGTACCAGCATGGCAAATAGTGCATGCCAACACTTTGAGGATGAGAATGTAGTCTGTCCTCTAAAGCTTCATGATGGTCTGTTCACTACTTCTGCCACAGACAGCATAGACCACAATCTTAGGCTCCACCGCAGCAACATGCTCCTCTCATGGAACTAGGGGATATCACTTTTTCAGCATCCCAGTACTCAAGTGGAGGCAATTGTCCGTGGAATTCCCACCCCAGACTTTGAGACTGCAGCATCATGAAGAAGACTATCTCATCACTTCCTGAGTCTTACACACTTGTCCCTCCATTCATCTTAAAGAAACCCAATGCCCAAAATGTTGAAATCAAGACTGAACGCCAACTTATTACCCAAGCCCTGCAAGAAGAGTACAGATGGCTTGAACAAATACGGCAAGCAGCAAATCTGGTTACCTTCAATGGAGATCAAGACATTTCCTGGGCTACTTACCAGGCTAGCAAACAATCAATGCCAGAGATCACCCAGGCCATCACTGCTCATCATCCCCATTTTTCAAATGATTCCAAGTCTGTGGCAATGATTTGTCATGGTGTGGATGTGATAAGGAATGCTGCACACCACCGAAACCCATGCCAAGTTCCAGTGATCATTGTGGATCAACCCCTTTTCACCATAACCATACAGATGCAGTGGACCTGGCCTATTGGGTATGGGGAGGACAAACCACTTGTCGTTATTCTGGGTGGACTTTATCTGGAAATGGCAAGTCTAGAATCATAGAATATCAGGGTTGGAAGGGACTTCAGGAGGTCATCTAGTCCAACCCCCTGCTCAAAGCAGGACAAATCCCCAACTAAATCATCCCAGCCAGGGCTTTGTCAAGCCTGACCTTAAAAACCTCTAAGGAAGGAAAAGCTGATTGGAGATAGTAAATGGTCAGAAAGGCCATTCTTCAGGCCAAACTGACTTCTCCAGGAATGGTTGACTTTCTTGAAAATCTCTCATGTCATATGTAATAGACGTGCCCCAAGTAACAGCCAGTAACCTGTACATCTTGCTCCAAAATGGATAGACCACAGTATACCTAAGGTCTCGGGGAAGATGAGGCCCCCATGGGATATGATAAATGGTGTGACAAATGAAAGGTAGAAAACCCAATGTTCCACTTCTGGCATACCACACTTCATCTGGAGCTTTTTGTATTGACCTATGTTCTGTCAATCCACTGTTCAGTGTGGAGCCTGGCATGCACACAGGCTTGCTTGTGTGCTGGTGCTGAGGACTGTTACAATCCTCAAAGTGACCAGTGTAAATCCATATGAGTCTGAGACTGCAGATGGTTCAGGTTTAGATATGTGGCATTCAGCAAATATGTTGAAAAAGGCTAGACACGTATAGTCATATTGCCCATTGCTGAGGAGTGTTAGTGTTTTGCTAGCATGATGGTGTGCAATAGTATACGTGCCTTCTGTTATAATGAATACGGTATTAAAAAAAATGGTGTCAATGAATAATTATGCATTTATCAATACAAAGCACAAGGCTAACACTCCCTAAGTAATGAGCCATATTAATTTGTCAGACTATTTGTAGGAGTTGAATTTTTCTTTTAAAATAAAAAGGTGATAATTTGTGTCAAAGAAATCTTTTGCATTACTAAAATTTGTCTTTTAAAATAAATTAAATCCCATTTTATTGGTCATTTTTTCTTTCAAACTTATCTTGACAACTTAAGTACATTTTTGTAGCCTTTTCACTTGCACAAAAGGTACATGGGTACAAAAATCTTGCATTGGAATACCTTGCTACCCCTTTACAACACCACATTCACCCTAGATAAGAATCTAAGGAACACTTCTATTAAAATAACATAGTTGTTGCTTTTTGTACAGGGGCTGCTTCATTGCCAAGAACGGCCAGCCTGGGCCTCCAGACTATATATGCTAATGGCACTTATTTGTGAAGGTCTCTCTTGCTCCTGGGCAGCATTATTAGCTTCTAAGGAGGTAAGTGGCATTATTGTCCCTCCCCATTGGTGATGTCATTTCCTGCAAGAGTTAGGGATCAATGACAGAGGCCCCTTCCTACTCCAGGGCAGCACCAGCCACCATGGTTGGTTGTTGAACGGGCTTGGAATTTGGGGGTGGGGGGAGGGGGAGAGTTCTTAATTCTGAGACGATGGTTCCTGAGCTATAGCTGTAAGGGTGGGTTCACGCCCTGCACGTGTTCTGCGAAGTCCGAATTCATCCCTATCTGGGTTTAAAGCCGCTTTGACTCTGTGCCACAACAGCTTTTTCTTCCATCGAATACAAAAGGCAGCTGCCTCTGCTGCCTCTGAGTCAGGATCTGGCTTTCGCAAACCCTGTTTGAAGGAAGCAAAATAATTACACACATTAATATACGTGGATAGACAAAGGGGTTTAAAATTTCTTATAGTACAAAGGGGCCTCAACACACCAAGTCTAGATGCCCACATGTGGGAACCAAGTTAACTTGGTTAGCCTGACACCTCTCCTAGACTAAACAATGGAACAGCTGACCCAGGACTGTCAGTAAAGACTGAAAGGATGGAAATATAATGAAAGCCAATCAGCCTGGTTGTATGGAAAAGAGGCACTTAGTACAGTGTGACATTCTGATTAACAAGCTGGTACTCTGCAAAATCATTGCCCATTTTAAATAGATCAGAAGCAGGCTAAAACACAGTTGTTAATAGGGAATCAGCTAGTGAGGCCCCCCAGGGATTTATTCTTAGCCCAATGCAATTCACTATCTTCATCAATGAACTGGAAGAAAAGAAAATCATTGCTGAAAATAATCAGTAGATGACCAAGATCTGTAGGCTGGTAAATAACGAGGACAGGTCACTGAGACAGAGAGCAAGCTGGATTGCTTAATAAATGGGGTTTAGCCAGGCAGCATTTGTTTTATTATTAAAAACAAAGTCATAATCTAGGAACCAAAAATACCTGTGTCCTGGAAATCAGTGACTGAAGAGGGTTACAGGTTATTCCCAGCATGATGCTGTGGGGACAAAAGCCAGTGCAATCCTTGCATGTACAAATAGGGCAATATGTAGCAAGTGTAGAGAGGTGATACTGTCTGCATACTGCATTGGTGAGGCTGTGTACAGTTCTGCTCTCCACACTCTGTAACAGTATAGTTATGAGCTGGGTAAAACCTTGTTGGTTAGGTTAAACCTCATTTAAACTGGTGGGTGTGAATGTGCTCTACATTTGAGATAGCTATAAGAGACAAGTTAAGTTCCTAAATAAGTCATAGTGGAGTCTACCAGAAGCTAGCAGCACCATGTTGGCAAGGTTCAACTAGGTATTTTTTGAGGGGAGGGGGGAAGGTTGGTTTTATTGGGGGGGGGAGACAGGAAATGACAGGCTGGTGTGCAGACAACAATCAGACTCAGAGAAGGAAATCCAAGCAGCAGCCTGTAAGCATGGTGTGGCCCTGGGAGAAGCTAGGGAGAGATCAGGGCTGCTGGCTGAGAGAAGCTTTGGCCTGTAAGATGAGAAACTTTTAAATTTTGGTTCTTCCTGCATTTGGAAAAGCAGGACTATGTACTTCCTTGTCAATACACAATACTGCATCAAAGAACATACCAGTCTCCATCATACATTTCTACTCCCAACTGGAATGCCCCTGGGGCCCCAAACTTTGATTAACCACTTGGATTGAAAAGGAGTAACAGTATGTTGGGAAAACGGAAAACAATTCAGAGAAGAGTTGCAAGAATGGATTTATTGTCTGGAAAAAGCACCTTCAAATGAGAGACTAAAGGAACTCAGTCCATTTAGTTTATCGAAGAGAGAGTCTATAAGTACCTAAATGGGAATGATTTCTGTTAGTAGAAGGCTCCTTAATCTAGTAGACCAAAGACTGGAAGTTGAAGTCAGCAAATTCAAACTGGAAACTATGCAAATTTTTTAAGAGTGCTGATGATAACCATTGCCATTGAAACATTTTCCCTGGGGATGTGGTGGATTCTCTGTCACCTGGAGTCCTTATATCAAGACCGGATCTCTTTCTGGAAGATGCACTGTATCTGAACCAGAAGTTACGAGTTCCTTGTGTTATACAGAAGGTCAGGATAGATATTCACAATGGTCCCTTCTGGCCTTAATATTTACGACCTATAATTTCTGAAAAGTTGTATTAGCTGAGCCTGGTCGAATGAGTGCCTGTTTTCTGAGTGCGCTCAGTTAAAGATTGCTCTATTAAATTATTTAAGGTATTTAGTTATTTCTTGCTGTCCTCATTAGGAAGCCCTTGAGAGTTTTAATGGAAACTTAACTGAGCCAAGACAAAGCCTAAGAGACACTTCACCTGTCTCTAAAGCCCCAGCTGAAAATCTACCTCCATGGCAGTGTGTTTCTTTTGGCCGTCTGCCTTTCTGTCCAAAATCAATAGCTGAAGGCACTTCGATGAACTTTGCCTATAGATATGGCCCAATACTTACTGGGCAGTTCCTCATCTCAGAGGGCAAGTTGGAAATTGTGACTGTGAAGGCCCATTATTTGGGGGGATAATTCAATACGGTAAGTACAGGGCAGGAGCAAAGGTTGCAGATCCAGGAAGCAGCTGTCTCCATTATAAGAGACTTGACCACAATAGTCACATTGTGTGAGAGATTCTAATTGTGGGTTTGCAGAACACAACAAATCCAGGCTAAGGAACATTTATGGTTCCCCCAGGAAGATAGAACTCCAGTGTGGTCAGCTGCCAGGGAGCGTTTGTTCTAGAATTGGTGCCTAGTCACCTCTGAGAGGCAAACACAGATTCCAGATGGGATTTGCAAAGGCTCTTCAGGGGGTGAGTTAAGTGCCCAACTTCCAGTGAGATTTGGACAGTTAACTCCCTTAAAATTCTCTGAAAGTTACAGCCTGAATCCAGAAGTGTTGGGGGTAAAAATGTTAATATATTTGAACTTGCCTTTTGAAAGAAGCTTGACCTATACCAGTGCACACTTACTTTGACACACGCGGCCTCTGCTGCCTTCAGGGACTGTAGGACCACTTGAAACAGATTCTGTGCATTGTTCACCAGTAGTTCAGCAGAGCACCTACTCCCTGCTGTTGCTGCTTTTACCCTTAAAATATTTAAAAATTTAAAGCGAAAGCGTTACACAACTTGCTAAGTGACTACATACTGTCACGGCTGGCTGAGGGTTTCCTGGATCTAGGAAGGTCACAGAACAGGCTGATACATATGGAAGGAAAGGGCTCCAGTACCGCTGGCCCTTGCTCATGGAACAGTTTTGACCGCAGAAGAGATTTTCAGCTTTAAAAAGGCGTTGTAGGGAGAGCAAAAGAATAAAAGCAGGAGCACTAGTAGCCAGAATGGAGAAGTAGCAAACGCAATGTTGAAACCTGCTGGAGCCTGAATGCCCAACGATACCGCTGCCAGTGCCTAGTTATAGACCCTTTCCCTTAATCACCCAGTGTGAGCTGGTCCAGCGGTGGCCCTTCCGGCCGAAGGGGGACAAAGAAAAACTATTGCTGATATTTGGACTTAGCCGGTGTGCTCAGAGTGTGGAGATGGGGGTGACATAAGCACTGAGACGGTGACAAGAAGAAAGGGGGGAGATGCCTCTGAGCTCTGTTTGACTAGCACAGAGAGCTATGCAGAGATATTCAGGACTCCAGAAAGCCACCAACGGCATGGCACTCATTGGTCAAGGAGCCCAAGGGACAAAGGTGCCCAACTCACACTGGGTTTCGGAGTGTCAATGGAAAATTAACCGCAAGGAGCCAGAGAACCTCCAGGCAGACGCAGCATGGCTGGAAGGCTGAGATCAAGAGGGGACATAAGTGCCTCCTAGTACAAGTAGCGTTAGCTCTGGAGAATGCTGTTTAAACATTAGCTCAAGGCTTATTCTCGGCTCAGCTGAAGCCCAGAGGTGGCTCAGCACTGGCTGCCTGGGAGCAGGATCGGGCTCTCAGACAGATCGAGTTTACCACTGGGCTCTTTTAGACGGGGAACGATACGAGAGCGGAACCTTCAGTTCTGCACAGCAGCGTATAACACTGCATGGGAGGGTAAGATGTGCAGCTCACGAGAGGCTCCCTATTGTCTGCGATAGGAGTCGTTTCTATAGACACGCCTCATGCACATGCACTGATTTTAAAGGGACACTGCTGTGGGCCCCACCATGCCACGTGCTGAAAAGTGGAAGTCGGTGAGGAATCTTCGTGAATAGAAATATGTCACTATTTAAAAAAATCCGTAATTCAGAAACAAACTACAAATAGGATAGTTACAGTGATCTCAATAGGACTTGGATAAAATGCCTTCACTCTGCTGACTCGGCAGTGGCAGCCAGTAGCAGGAATCACCCTCACCTAGGATGTGGGAACAAAAACCAGGGGCTATGTTGTTTTTTAGCTTGTAAGAAGGTAAAACAAAGAGGAAAACTCTTCATGGCAGAGACAGTTTTCAGCCCAGTAACTAGATGCCTACCCCTGGTGCCATATGCAAATACGAACAAGAAAGAGAGTCAGCGGTGTCCTTTAAAATCCCTTTTTAAGAAGGCGCGAACGCACACACCAGCCTTGAGAGAGAAGATGCTTTGAACTTTCGGTTTACCTGGAAATAATTCTGAGCTGGTTGCTGATGGTTTGGATTTGCTCGGTGACACACAGCAGTTCGGTTGCACATCTTTCGTCTAGGCAGTTCTCTGCAATCAGGTGGCCAAATCTGACAAACACTTGCCCATTGGAAGCCATTTGACTAGCACAGGCAATGAGCTGCTCTTTGGTCTAAAATTAAATCAAAAGAAGTCGGGCAGGAGAGGGGGTGTTTGCTATAAACTGGATGTAAAATCTACTGTTGCCTTGTTAGCGCTAGCGCATGTTAGCACAACGGAACCTTTCTCCGAGCCTGGCTGAGGACACTGATTGCCCAACTCCCCAGGGGGCACAGCTGGACCCGCACAACAGAAACACCCACAAACTCCCCGATGCCCCTTATGGGCATGGGGGGGGGCGATATTAATGGACAAACAAACATCATAAAGAGACCCTGTGGGAATGGTTCAGAGGCTGATGGAGAAACAGGACAGTTTTAAAGTGTTTTCAACATCTGAATTGTAGCCGCTGCAGCAGCAGTTCATGGCTCATTCTGCCATTTCTAACCCGCTCTGTGAAAGCTACACTGGGGACTGTTTGGCATATCAAACTCCATCAAAGAACTGGAGCTGCAAATAGACTTTGGGCCCCAAACTGCAGTAGCCAGCAGGCCAGGCCTGTGGGGAGAAGAGGGAGGGTAATAGTTCCGAGAGCCAATGAATAGATTGAAATAGCAGGGGAAAGGGGCTGAATAATCTTCCTTGCCTTCCTCTTCTCCTTTTTGGAGGAAATTCTTTTCAGAGCATTGCAGATACACTCACACTAATGCTATTACACCTGTTTTAAATGAAACGGACATTGATTGATTCTTCCCGGGGGGGCGCGCAGGAGTTAGTGCGTGTTCAGCCTTGTCATGGTAACACCCCCTTTCTGACTTACTGAGGCATTGTGCTCTCTCTACAATGTGGCTCAGACATTTGTCATCGCCACAAATAGGTGCTTGGAGGATTTAGCGGGCCCTGGTTACTGAGTGAAATATTTCCTCCCATCCTATAACAACACTGGCAATACCGTTATCGGTCCCTTCCTCTTTAGAAACCGTGCCATGTGAGACATCCCAGTGGCCATTTCCTTGGTGACTTGGGACATGGTGTTGGTGTCATCCTGCCACTGTCCAGAGTCCTCTGGCAGGGCAGCAGGAGCGGCTCCCTTACCCTGCTCACTGCTAGTGGGGTGGGAGTCATTTGGAGAGTCAGTCAGGAGCTGTGAAGACAGTGAAACAGATTCACCTCAAACAACCGACCTTCCCTTTTACCATCTCTGCATTACTGACGTCCATGGCAAAGTGCTGTCATGAAGAGGGTTTAGACAGTCCCTTTTTGGCAGAAATACCCATTTCCTACATTAAAAAAGTATGTTTTGAATTTTTACACACGCATATCCTTGGGCTTGTTCCACGGGTTTATTCCTTGAGTCATTTCTACTAAGCAAAACGAACAGAAACATTGCCTAGATCCATCCCATCCAGTAAGCCAGGCGTCAGTCCTTGCTTTCCACTGGACTGAGTCTAGCTACCCCAGGGGTCCCTTTAAACAGTCTCCTCATATTATCCCCTGACTTGCACCCCAAAGACCATCCTCATTGGAGCTGACAGCTCTAGGGCAGTTAGTTGTGAGCTAAAACAATTTTATCTGGTTTATTTTGAAATGTGTGAATGCCTGCTGCAACTGAAAGCAATTGTTTTCAGAAGCCGAAAATGGCAACCTCCCACACGCTGCCTGACTAACGCATCAGATTGGCTTCACTAGCAGCAAGGTGATCATGTGGTTTAGAAGCACTACCGCCCAGGTCCTGTCCAATCCTCCATCCTGCCCACACAACTGCAAACGCTCAGCAGGATGGTGGGTGGAATATTGCAGTACAAGAGAAAATTAGAGTTGATTAGAGAGTTTAGGGGGTAGCAGATGTAACTGAAAGAAGGTTTCTATAAAGAACCCTGCCACATGAAGAGCTGGGCAGAGAGTTCCCACAGCTGGGCAGACGTAGCCGCGGGAATCCCACAGCTGTGCCCAGCCATCAGACTCTCCTTTTGTCATACCCACAAAGGCTGAAGATTGGAAGATTTATTCAAATGACTTGGTGTCCAAATTGACATGTTTTGCAGAAATGGCAGCAAGCATCCCGCTTACCAGCATCGCAAGACTACAGCATGGAGCACGCTCCATGGTGCAGGATACTCGGGGTACGTTCAAACAGCTGTTACGCAAACCAGGCACAGCACCCAGCCGCCCTTTGTGAAGCCCAAAGGAAATCCTTGTCAGCTCAGCAAGGCCTTCCGTATTCGTCACTTTCAAGCTTCAGCCCTAACTTGGCACCTGAGCGGCTTGTTCCAGCACTCTCAGAAGTCCTTCCCGTCATCTCTCGAAGTCAATGGAAAGATACCCAGGGACTTTAAAGGGCACAGCATCAGCCCCATATTGCACGGCTGATGAAACTGTACGTGGCCACAAGCTAATTCTAGATGCCCTGCCTGTCTTCCTGGGCAGGGATTTTAAAAGCGGCTGCTGGGGCTCCCAGTCCCTGCTGACATTCAGTGCAACTCATGTGCCTAACTCCCTTGAGCCCCTTTGAAATCTTTGCTCCCCCTCCCCCCCCTTTTTTTCTTTTTACTTGACACAAGGAGGAAAATATGTAAGTGGAGCTTCTGCTCTGGTAAATTCAGGCCCTCTCTTCCCCACAACCCAACTTCCCTCAAAGGAAACAAAAAAATGTCTGATCTGTACCACTGAGGTAGTCTCCAATTTCATTCTGCAAATCTGCATGTTCTCGCTCTATGTTCTGTGCTCTCAGTATCTCCAGTCACTAGGCGTCCCCTGTGCAGTTCAAAAGATCTGGCTATTTCAACTGGAGAAGAATGTGCTAGCCACTCACTAAGGGCAGGTCTAAGTTACTGCTTAAGTTGATCTAACTTACATCACTCAGGGGTGTGAAAAAGACACCCCCCTGAGCGACACAAGCTACAGCGACCTAAGTGCTGTCGACACCAGTGCTATGTCGGTGGGAGAGCGTCTTCACCAGATGCGCAGCTGCATTGGTACATCTGCACCGACATAGCGCTTTTAGTGTAGACTTGCCCTAAGTGCACCGACCTTGGCACTTTGCAGTGAATGCTGAATTATGTATTTTGCTAATTGTTATCTCCATTTCAGGAAAAAGATCTGCAAAATGTTTACATTGTGCCTAGCCTCTCAGAGCTAGCTGGAAATACTGACAGATGACTAGATGCCAATACCTTTTGTATTTGGTTTATTTTAAATGTATTCGTCCATCAAAAGTGACCGATATAAAATCTGATTTCCAGTGAACTCCAGTTTCCGACAGTTTTGCATCAGAGTTAAGTGAGGCACAAGGCAATCAGCCGGCTTATCTCGTTAACCCAGTGACTGTGGTGCTACTACACCTAGGGAATCTTGAGCCCGGCCATTGGGGGCACTCACTGCATGTAGTTCTGCTGCTCGTAGGATATGGAAGCAACAGGGACAGTGAGCAAGAGGGGAAGATGGTTCTGTGCAGCCACAACTCCAAGCCATTGCATAATTTGATTTAAAAAAAAACCCAAAAGTCTGAAATGAGCAAGACATGGGACTCTTGGACAAGCAGTGAAATGCAGTTGGCACAGTTTTGAGATTACACAGTTTAGAGATAAATAGCTAAGCTCTACTATACCATGATTTCAAATGCATCCCCGGCAGTTAAACCTTTGGATTCACTCATGGTAGGCCAGGCATTTGCTGAATTGGCTTGGTGTGTGTGACTCTGGTGTTTGGTGCTGGGTATCTTGGCGGGGGAGAGCTCTGCTTTGCCATGACATTGATTTGCAACAGCACGTGACTCGCTGTTTTGTAAACACTGCTTAACGAGCTCCAAGGCGGCTTTATCAATGTCCTTCACTGACTGAAGCTGCGTCACCACATAGTGCGCTTTAGCAGACCACTCCCATGCAATGTAGTCTAGCTGGACCAGCTCCTTGTCCTGCTGGCTTTGAAGCTGCTCACCAGCTCTTCCTAGCAGCTCAGAAGTAAGGAGGAGAAGGTGGTCTGTCTGAGAGAGCAGACTTTCCCGCATTCTTAGATGAACTGTGTTCTCCAAAGCGTCTTCTATGATGGTCTTGACCAGCTGGAGGTTTGCCATTATCTGACCTGCCTGTTTAACCATCACTCCGTCACCTCCCTGGGCACGCGCAGGAGGCCAGGCCAGTCTGAGGATGTTTTGGATGACCCTCATGTACTCCCGATTGGTGCTGGTCAGGAGGATCAGAAGTGCCTTCACTCTAACAGCAAACTCTCGTTGGAGCAGCTCAGCACGAATGGACAAGTTTGTAGCAGGCACTGGGGAGACAGACAGAACATCCGCCACTTGCAACAGAGCTTCAGTTAGTACCTTTACTTCCTCCCGGAGCGCTAGGATGTCACGCTGCACACTGTGTTCAGCACAGGCGAGATAGGACAGCCGGGCTGCCTCCTGTATTCTCAAAGAGCTCTCGGAGACAGCTGCCAGGACATCCCGCAAGCGAAGCTTGTGCTTCATTGTATTCCTTAATTCACCTAGGAACAAAACATCTCGTCCTATGAGCTGATCGACAGCACTCAGGAGCACCTGTATGCTGACAGACCAAAGAAGGCAGATCCCCTCGAGATGGTCCTGGTGAGAATGGAAGCAGTCAGAAGACAGCGCCTTTTCAAGTAAATGCTTTGTATTAGTCTGAGCACGTGTGAATTTTGCTTGGACCCGTACAAACCTTTCCTGAATCTTAGGAACTATTGTGCGCTCCTCTTCACAATCTGTGTGTGCAACATCAGCCGCTAGCTGAACAACTGTTGCTAAAGTCTGCATGATCTCATCCAAAGTTTGTTTGCTCTTCAGAAAGTCAGCGGGAGCTACTGTGCAGAATAACTGCTGGACTAGACTGTACCAAGAGCCTGCCACAGCCACCAGGCATTGGTTAGTTTCACAAATCTTCTCCGATAACAAAACAGCTGTTGGAAGAAGTCTGTCTGCTCTGGAAACTGGGTTTGGACCTATCTCCCTAGCTAAGCTAATAACAGATGGTGTTAATAGAACTATCTTTCTGTAGTGGGTCAGCTTTTCCAGCAGTGGCGACTTGACAATTGGTAAGGCTTCCTGAGCTGCATCTACACAACAGTTGGAAAGTTCAAGTAAAACAAAGCAAGCCGTGTTTACAGCAGTAATGTCATGTTTCTTTGTTGCAGCGATGAGTTCATTGATCACAGGATGTAAATCCACTGTTTCTGGGTATAAGTTACCTGCTCTTGGAAGCATCTCAAGAGGAGAGGTGGCTGATGGAAGCCGTTCGCTTAAAAATTCTTCCACTAATTCAGTATTGTCAGTAGTGCTCTGTTTTATGACATCTGGTGCTCTGAGCTCTACGTGGTCCTGGGCTGAAAAGCAACACAGCTCTTTTGGAATGTCAAGGCTCCGAATTTGTTCCCGAAGTGGACTCAGAATATCTGGATGGTTAGACTCATCCAGCCCCTCTCTGACATTTCGAGTGGAGTCCATCAGATGCTTTACCCTCTTTGAAAATGCGTTTCTAGTTTGTAAACAAGAGATGCCTCCTAAACAGTGGCTAGTAACAGTTCTCACTTCCAGAATGGAGATTTCCAATTGCTTAACTAAAACTAACAAACCATTCTTGAAAATGGGATCTCTGATTTTATCCACAAATCTGTTAGTAACTTGGATCACGCGAGCAGCTAGGCTGGTCATATGCGCGGCATGCCATGAAAACCTTCCAGAGTTCTGACTCTCTAGTTCTTGTTCACAACACTCTCTGTGATCGGCCATTTCCTGAATAGACAGATCGAGGAATTCGGGCAAGTTGATTGTCTCATCAACACACGCTAACAAGCTTTCTGTTGTCCAAGCCCATCTTTGATAGAAGGTTTGTAGTTGTTTCTGGATGTTAATCTTATTAGGATCTTTGCTCATTTCCGTGAGGAGTAGAGGCACCGTGGCAAGGAGTCTATTTAAACAGTCTACACGATCTTCAATTTCTTTAATGATTTTGAGGTTGGTGCACCTGGCCAGAACAAAATTTGCCACTTTGAGCATCTGATGAGCATGACTGAAGAAGGCAGTAATGAGAGGCTGAAGTTTTCTTAGAAATCCATCCTCTCCTGCAGGAGAATATTGCACAGTTGTAGGTTCCAGTGCAGCTTCCATTAACCTTTTCAGGGGTGCGTTAATGTCTGTGAAAGTGTCCAGAATCTGACACAAAACAGCAGTGAGCATGGTTTGATCAAGAATCTCCACCTCAACTCTCATCGCATGACATTTCTCTTCTAGGTTGCATTCTAGTTGGCTTTGTGCTGGCAAATCCTCCATTAGGCTTCCATGGTTGGAAATGCTTTTCTTGAGCATTAGCAGATGATGGCAGTGCTTGATCAACTGCAGCTTAATACTTGGCCTTGATGAGTTAGCTAAAAGCATGCAGTGGAAGACCACTGTTTCCACACACAAACTGAATTCGTCCTCAGCTAGGTGAGCAGGGTTTGCGTTGGACAGGAGGCCCAGGTGCTGGGAAAAGAGCCCATTTCTTTCCAGTAGTTCCTTGTTTCTGGTGGTGTTTGTCAGCAAGGAAATCAGTTCCTCTATGGTGCTATCCATCAAATGGAAAATGTAGTTTTTGGAACCATTCACTTGCTGGTCCTGGGGGTGCTTCAGGTGACTGTGTTTTGCAGCATGCAGCATCGGGACGCACTTCCTAAGGATCTGCAGCATCTGGGCCAAATACTTCTGAGGAGGAGAATCTCGGAGCTCTTGGATGCGTCTTTCTGTCAAATTGTTCAGCAAGAGCAAGGACTCTGAAAAGTCACGGAAAGCAGCCAGCAGGGCTGGTATGTCTCCTGCAAACTCGAGTGCAGTCAGGCAATGCCGAAGCCAATGAGCGGCCTGGATAATCCTCGTCACTACAGCATCATCTTCAAGCTGGAGGATCTAGTTGATAAATCAGAACAAAGGTCACAAAAAAAGGAAACATTGAACACTTCCCAAGATCTGTGGTGTTCTTTTTGCTAGGAACGTACTTGTCATTTTCAACTTGCTGGCTTTGTTTTTAAAATGCCTGTGTGCACTGATAACATGTGTCTAGGTGAATTTGAGAATAAAAGTGCTGCTGGTGAGCGATACTGGATCGATAGTGCTGAAACCTGAGGGTACAGAACTCTCGTGACATTACAAACCACCCACAGAGCATCTCAGCACTTCATGAGCAGTGATGATCACAGCTTCTCCACACTATGGAAAGCGAGGGAAGCGTTACTAACCACATTTTACACATGAGGAAATTGGGGCACAGAGAGATTAAGTGACTTGTCCGAGGTCACACCAGAAATCTCCCAACTCCCAGTGTCGTGTCTGACCCACAACCCCAAACTACTTCTCTTCCTTGGCTTTTATACCTCTTTATAGAGAGAGACGTGGAGCAAAGTTCTCGTATTTTCAGTTGGTTTGGAAAAAAAAAAGTTAAAAGCAATGAGATGATTCAAAATGTATTACTGCTAGTAGGGTGACCCTAAACCCCCAAGCAACTGGGCACCACATTTTGCTCTTAGTTCTGGCTGGGCTCGGGGTACAGCGTAACTGAGCGGCTAGCACACTGGGTCAAGACCTATCCCTGGGCTAGTCCCTGACCTGCTGTGGAACTGTGGGTGAATCACATCACCTCATTGGCTCAGCTGTAGAACGGAGGTACCAACACGGCCCTTCTTTTGTAGAGTGCTCTGGGGTTTGCAGACGAAAAGGACCATATAAGAGCTACAACATACTCTGTGTGTGGCGAGTCAGAGCCCCGTTGTGCTGGCGGCTGTACACTCATGTAACATGAGTTACTCATGTAACAGTCCCACCTCCAAACAACTTGTAATTTAAGGGCTTGTCTACACTGAGGCTTAGAGCGTGGCCAGCTGGGCAGTACATCTAGAGTGCACTAGCCTGCCATGCACTAACTGGCCATACGGTCCCTGCTCCATGCACTAAAAATTCTGTCGTAAGCACCATTGCACAACTTCCGGTGCACAATAGTGGGGTCCATGCAGCCAGTTAGTGCACTGTAGCTTTACTCTGCACCACTTGCCACACACTCACGCTCTGTGTAGACAAGCTCTCAGTGCCCACCTGTACAATGGGGGTACTAGCAGTGCCTTGCCTCCCAAGAGCATGAGGTATCATTATTTATTATTTCTCCGACACTTAGGGTTGCCAGTTTTGGTTGGACATATTCCTGGAGGTTTCATCACACACCATAATCTTTAATTCCTGGAGACTCCAGACCAATCCTGGAGGTTTGGCAACTCTACCAATGCTCCTGGATGGGCAGGACAGGGCAGACTTGTCCGGCAGCTGATCTTCATTCCCCACTACAACCTCATCCTCCATATGCACCCCACTCCGGGAAACACGGGCCTAGGGAATTAGCCGCTGTGCAGATCTCGTCCCCGAGAAGGCAGAGCTGCTGGGAGGGAATGAAGGGTTAGTGGAGAAGGAGTGTATTTATAGCATGCAAATGACAGCTGCATTACACTCACCTTTACAGTCCCCATTAAGACTCTCTTTGCTGAATCAATCAGTTCCTCCTGATGACTCTGAACGTCCGGCTGAATATGAAGTTTCTGGGCCACCAGTAAGATGCTTTTCCCAGACGCGAGGAGAGATTCGGCAGCAGGCAACATCTCCCCAGCCAGCAGCTCCTCGTTGGACTCATGAGCCACCCTGGCAGAAGGATGCTGATCTCAGGTACGCAAGGTCACACAGATGCCTTTAATGAAATGCGTCGCTGTAAACCAGCGCCAGCATGGGACTGGGAACGCTGACTCCAGGGAGGAGCCAAGCAACCTGAACAGGCAGGATACAACCGGCTCCCACTGAACAGAACTCCGTGGAGGGTAAGCAGATGTAGGGCAGGGGAGGAGGGGGTGGGATTGTGCTTTCCCTTAATTAAATGTTCTGCTTTTTAAACAGCAGCCACATGTAAGACAGTCACATGAGTGTGTGGTTGGGGGTAGAATGGACCCTCTGCCCAATCCCAGTAAGAGGGGAACCCCCTCCCCACTTGCCTGCACCCCATCCCATACTAACTGTTCCCCTGCCTCTACTAGGTGGTCAACCAACCATGAAGGTATCTCTGGGGCTAGTAAAGGAGGGGCCAGAAATGACAGCTGCACTGCAGGTGAGGAGTTAAAAATCAGAGACATCTTCCAGAATAGCAACAGACTAGAGTTAAGCAACACTATGGACACAGACAAAAATTAAAAACTAGAACGCCCATATCCCAGTGTGTGAGGCACTTCAAATCAAAACAAAGGGAACCAGAATGCCTGGAACAAACGGATAAATTTAAAAGCAACAAGAGAAAGGTGGTCTCCAGGTGTCCAGGCCTGCTCCACCTATAACACATGTACGTACATACACACACAGATGGAAATTCATTTTGCCCTCTTCAAAACTCAGTGTTACCTTCTTGCAACATAAGCAAGTTCTTCAGTAGCTTTGGCTAATTCTTCAGCAGCTTTTTCTAAATCAGCGAGGCGCTCGTTCGTCACGCCTTCCCACGCGGCTGCTATCATTAAATGACAAAGTTGAGCTGCCATGGGTGAAATAATTCTCTCAATGGTTTTGTTGGAGGTGACAGCCCTGATGTCATACAGATAAAAAGGCTCCATTGCTCTCGGCTACAAACAGAAGACACAATTAAAGGTTCATCTCCACAACACAGTAATATTAATTAACAGAATGCACTGAGTCTGCACCTTCCATCCAAACATCTCAAAGAACCTTGGGAATATTCATGAATTTAGCCTCACAACGCCCTTGCATTATCCCCAGTTTTGCTGCAAGCTGTTCCTACAATCAGAGATGGGGTGTGCACCCTGCACTGGCTCTGGTGGGGTTAATACAGGCAAAAGAGGCCAGTTACCCATAAACTGTACCTGGAGGAGAGCGAGGAGGCAGTGAGACTGAATTGGGGATGAAGCTCACCTGGGCAGGAGCAGGGACGGTGTCCGGCAGCAGGGAAGGGGCCCGCAGTGAGGAAGCTGGAGAAACACTTCCTGGTACGAGGGGGGAGAGCAGGAGCCTGTCCCAGGAGTGTGGGGAGCAGTCAAGGGAAGGAGCAGTAAGGACTGGGGAGATCTGAGCTGCTGGGGGAGGGTCCCTGGAGTAGAAGCCATTGTAGAGGGCAGGCATAGGTTCCCCTACAAACCACTGTAGCAGTGGCATGTTAGGGGCAGCCTATCTGGGGACTCCCAGGGATGGTTTGGAAGGAGACGGATAACACCCCAGGATGGGGGGAGGCGGGTCTTGTTTGTGACTTGACCAGAGAGGTAAGCCATGAAGAGGAAAGTGCTACAGCTCCCGGAGCTTGAGAGAGGCCACGGAGCAAGTGATGGGACGACGGGTTAAGCAACCACAGGAAGGGGTGTCAGAACATGTGGTGAGCTAATCCCCAAATGGGCCACTAGGAGGTGCCAGACCAGCAAGAGAGCGCCCCCTGTTGCAGGCATGGCTCTGGTTTGTGGCATAATTAAATGTTTGGGGGTCTGAAGCATGCCACTGATGTCAGTACCCATTTACATCAGTAGTGAATTTGGCCCAGCATGTTAACGTCAGCTCATTAGTCAAAATGGCTCAGATGAAACAAGTGTCAACTTGCTCCACCACTCAAAATTCATATGTAACCCCAGCCACGCCTTTGAGTTTATACTATTTCCCCTTGATCAGTTTTCACTTTCCTGGGCTGCTGCACTTCCTACTGCCAGACAAGTCTAGAAGCAGAAAAGATCAGACACTTCCCAGCTGCTCCTGCAGTCTGACCAGCCTGAGCTGACACAGACATGCCAAAAAGCTTGTGGGGAAACCCGAGCTAGGCTCAGGAGAGCTCCAGCTTAATTCTGCAGCCTCAGGTTTCCTCTCCACCTAATCTTCTCATCACAAACCACCCAAATCATGCTACTACGTGGAAGTGAAATGCTCCAGCGTCTGGCCAAAGTTAGAGTTTGCACTAAGACCCTTACAATTATTCATCAGCTGCCTGTCTCATGGTTTCAGACCACCTCAAACTCACCTCCAAAACTCCGCTCACTAATTTTGCATACACTGGTTGCACACAGGCAAGCATTTGCACATGCCAATTGGACAGTTAGATGTTCATTTACCCACTCTGTATGAACAGAGGTTAGTTTTGAATGCAGCTGTACGTGATCATTTTAAAAATCTGACTCTTGGCGTCTGTTACAATTATTTTATTTCTATTGAATCTTCTATTTTAAATAGAGAATATTCAGAATCTATCAACCCTTTCCCTTAAAAAAAAAAAGTAACAGTACTACATGTGCCTTAAATAACTGAATAGCAAAGTGAAATTTACAGGGGGATTAGAAAATATAATTTTTAAAATAAACAACATGTGCTTATCACCTCTGCCCAGTGCAGACTCTAATGTTGATGATCGTGTATGATACATGAAACCAGATTGTGTGACAATGAAGTTAATCAATAAAAAAACAAGAAGTGTGTTTTATTCTAGTAACACCGTTACAGTGGCGATTGACAGTCTTTTTGATAGTGATACACCATGTACTATACAGTTAAAATGTTTTTAATACAGCTTAGTGCAATTTTACTTTGCTTATCTCAGGTGATCTTATCATTTGAACAGCTTTCCGCTGTAAATTATAAATACAAGAAAGCTATGATAATCGCAAGAACCACATCAAGTACAATACCCCCCTGAAAGCACTCTCTAAAATTAACAGTAAAGGTTATTAGACACCTGTGAGACCTTAGTGTTGTTATCCAGCCACACAACTCAGAACATATAATTGACAGAAAAACTGAAATGTCACTTTACCTTGTGGTGAAATGTGTTTCCACTGGTTTTCCAACTGCAGTTTAATTAAGGTAACAAGCTAAAATTCAATACATGGTGTACACTTGTTTACAAGAAGCTAGGATTGCTGTGTGGTCTCATAGCTACAGGCAGTCAGCTGATGGAGGTGCTGACATCAGAGGCGGTGGGGTTAACTAGCCCTCCTTCCGCACACACGGAGCTAGTAGAAACTCCACAGCGCTGGCCAGTGAGCTGCTATGGTGGGGAAATGTCTCAGGTACTTATTCCCATTTCAATCCCCTCCTCTCTGTGAGAGAACCGTGTTTCTAAACGTACGGGGAACAAAGCCCCTATTCATACGTGCAACCCAATTCCTAGTGTAGCTGACGGGAAAAATGAAGCAGGCACCTGTACAGCAACGGGGATGTTCCCAATAGTCATTGGTTGTGGCCAGATTGGGCCCGGCCCTGATGCAGACTTGCCAGGGAATAAGCCCCCCGCCTTCACTCCCGCCTCCCCCCCCCAGTAAACACCCACCCTCCTAGCACACTGGAGGAGAGCTCCCCTGACCTTGGTTCCAGAGACGGGGAGAACGGGCTGTGTACCTGCTTTTATCCCCCCAGATAGGGGGGCAGTGAGGCCGAGCAGGGCTGGCAGCACCAGAGACGGGTGCTGTGGAGAGTGGTCTGGGAGATCAGAAACCTGCTGCAAGGGAACAAGAGAGAGCCACAGAGATCCCAACGAAAGAGAGTGCAGCAGCAGGGAGGGGCTGAGCTGTGGACGCCCAGTAACCCCCCTACTGTACTGCTCTGAGACCAGCCGTGCAGGGAGCTGTAACTGGCCCCGGCCTGGGGGAATTCGTGTCAGCTCATGTCCAGGGAGAAGGTGGCGAGCTCTGTGGAGTGATGGCTGCCTGTCTGCAGAGGCATTCCCAGGCCAGTCCTGAGGCAAGCCCTGTCTGAGCTGTGCATAGCCCCAGACCAGGCCGCCCCACCTTGCAGCAGCCAGCGGAGGGCTGAACTCAGACAAGGCCAGGGTTTATTCCAGGGGTCAGCAGCCTTCAGAAGTGCTGTGTGGAGTCTTCATTATTCACTCTAATTTAAGGTTTCGCGTGCCAGTAATACATTTTAATGTTTTTAGAAGCTCTCTCTCTAGATGTCTATAATATATAACTAAACTATTGTTGTATGGAAAGTAAATAAGGTTTTTAAAATGTTTTTGAAGCTTCATTTAAAATGTAATTAAAATGCAAATGTAAATAAAAACTTTATGGCCGAGAAGCAACTGTTACTGTTTAGAGTGGGGGTTTGTAGGTATACATAGGAAGGAAATAGGTACGTATATTTTCAAACCTTTCAACTGCTCAGTATATTTCGAAACCTTCTAACAAGTTTTCAGGCTGTTCCTGAGAGAGAGAAATGGGTTTGGTTTGGTGTTGGGGGTGTGTGCCCTTTTTAACAGGTTAATTCAAGACACAGCTACTACTACCCTGGTTAGGGATATGTTAATTGTTGGGAATCTATCTAATGTGGGCGGGGAGCACTCTACCTCGGAGACAGACGTGGGCAAGAGGAGCAGCTGGTGAGGAGGTACCAGGACAAGAGGACATGGCAATGTGGAAGCTCCTTCATCGTAGGCTCCAGGTGAATGTTACCAGGGGTATCCTGGTACCCAAGGTATCCCATACTCTTCTCTTCCTCAGAAGCAGCATTGCTGGTAGAGCACAGTGAGATTTTGGAAAATCAAGTATCTGGTATTTGCCCAGACCTTTCCCAGTTCTCTCTATAACCTTTCTTAGTAGGAATATCGAGTAAGCAACTATTCCTTAATAAATCATGTCTTTTGTATTCCACTCCACAGCAACCATCCCACAGTGGGATTTTGTTTGCAGGATAGCCTATAAGTGGGAGAGCTTTATGCTTATAGGTAAGTGGAAAATATGGGGCATAAACAGTGACTGCTACATTTGAAGTAGCATTTATTTTTACGATTCCTCAATTTCCACTCTCTGTCTGAGTTCTCCAAGGGCCAGAGAGCATGAGAGCTAGAACTGTAGGTAGGAGGAACACCATGTGCCAATCTCAGTGCAGGTCAATAGCAGCATGAACTGAGAACGTCCTGGCATAGGACATGGGGCCAAGAGTGAAGTGAGACATCTTGCCACTTTCAAAATGTATTTGAAATACAGCTACACCAATCTAGAGACAGTGCTCGTCTGCGCAGCGGCGGCAGGAACAAAAGGCTTTAAGGGTAGGAGCTGAGCCCCTTGGAGTCTCCGAGCCAGGGAAGGGCTATTGCATTGAAGTGTTGCACCATGGTGACCACCTGAGACTGGCTCCCTGGTCTGTTCCGATATCACGGCTGCAGGAGGCCGTCAGGGGTAGTTAAGGAAGAGGAGGAATCGAACTGGTTCTGGGCACGAGGTCGTGTGGTGCTGGTATCAAGGGAGCCTCTTTCGGAGATGGGTTCATGGGGAGAGGGGCAATTCCCCGTCCCGTCCCGGCTGAGCAGCTCCGCACTCCCCCCCTCGCAGCCCCCAACGGGCAGGGGACAGAGACATGACCCCGCGCTCGCGCTCTCAAGCGGCGCCGGCTGCCTCGCCCCAGCCCCGCAGCAGCGACCCCCGGGCTGCCCCGCTGGGGCTCTCCGTGCGGGGCCACAGGCTCTGATGGCAGCCCGCTGTCCGCCGGCCTCCCCGGCACGTGTCCGCTCCCCTTCCTGCCTCCGCCGGCTCTGCCCAGCGCCCGGCCCCAGACAGCCCGGCCGGGGCGGGCACGTGGCTCCCACAGGGCTCCTCCGGGGCCCGCGCCCCGCCCCGCGGGGCTCGTTGCCAAGTCCCCGCCGGCCACGGCGTCACTTCCGGCCGAGCGGCCAGTAGTAAACCCTTCCGGATCCGGTGGGCAGGGAGGCCGGCTCGCGGCCGCAGCGCGCGCGGGTCCGCTCGGGTCACGCGCCGTAGCGACACCCCCCCCGCCGCGCGCGCTGCGCTCCCGGCCCGGCCGGCACTTTGTACAGCGCCGAGCACAGCCGGGGCCTACGGGCGCCGCAATCCCCACTCCCCCCCCAGCCGCTGCCGCGGCCCCTTTCCCGAGCGGGGGTCACGGCCCGGGGATAAGCGGCGCAGGGCGGGGCTCTGAGCGAGGCGGGAAGCGCCGTGACGGGTTAGGGGAGCCCCGCGGCTGGGCACCGGCCCCCCGAAACTCGCCCCCTCAGAGAAGCTCCGGCCCGGCCCCCTCCGCTCCCTGACCCGAGCGCGGCGCGGCGCGGGGCGGAGCTCGCCGCGGGCATGGCAGGGACGCGCGGGGGAAGGGCCGGGCTCGCCGCTCCTGGCCGGATCCCGGGCCCGTGAGCCAGGCGGCGTGGCCGGGCAGGGGGCGGGCGCTGGGCTGCGGGTGTTGTGGGCATGAGGAGCCCGAGGAGAGCCTGGCTCTCCCCGAGGGGTTAGAGACATGCCCGAGGCTCTGCCCTGAGGAGACCGACCAACGTCCATTGCCGGAGCCGGGGGCAGGCCCAGGCTCCCCGATGGGTTTGCAGGGGGATCAATCTGTTCCTGGACGGATTCTAACCCCGCGCCTGGAGGCGCCTGGCCGAGAGAAATGCCTTGCTGCGCTCGTGTCCGTGTTTGAATCCAGCCGCTTGGGTGGGAGCCGGGGTGCAGGAGACGTGTTTTTGTGAGCTGCAAACCACGCTGCCGCCAAGCTTGTGCTGGACGTGGCGAGTGTTGCATGGGACGATGTACACTTTTGTGGTACGAGATGAAAACAGCAGCATCTATGCTGAAGTGTCCAAAATACTCCTGTCCACCGGACAATGGAAGAGGCTGAAAAGAGACAACCCCCGATTTAACCTGATGCTGGGGGAGAGGAACAGACTGCCCTTCGGGAGACTGGGTAAGAGGAAAAGCAGCACTGGCAGGACCAGGCCAATGAACAACACAGCAAAGCCGCTGGTTTTTATCAGTGTTCAATGCAACATGCTAATGCTTGTTTGTGTGGAGTGGGCCAGAACCTGTGCTTTATTGATTAATCAATAGTGTGAAGTAATCTGTTTCCATTACAGGATGTTGTCTGATGTTTGTGGGGATGTACGTTTAGATGCTTTTGCATACTGGGAAATGTAAAGTATTATGTGACTAGTGTGTGCTGCAGAATGTAGATTTGGGTGTTGTCTGCTGCGACAAGGGAGGGACTTGGCCATTGGCATGGCAGTAGCAGAGGGTTTGCCTTCGGGAAGTACAACAGCATAGCTGAAGATTTAGTCTGGTGATGGCTCTTATTTTTAAAGTTACCCTTTGTTAAAAAATAGAGCATTTTTATTATCTAAAGATTAACTTACCCAATTGTAGAAATTAGTCATTTGGGGGCGTATTGACATTTCTGGTTACATCTATGTTGCATTAAACATTTTAGTTTTTATGGTTCTGTTCCATTATAATATGGAATCTTAGAGGAAATCTGCTTATAGCAGTATCTTATATTAGAAAACAGGAACAAAGGAATGCTTACAATCCGAGATCTCAGCAACATGATGCTCTATTATGAGAGATCTGCAATTTTCAGCTGGAGACGAGATTCTCGTTCTTTCAACTGCAATTTTAAATTGAAATGTCATAATGTTTATGAATTCAAATTGCTATTTGAAATATTGCCTAGTCTGATATGGAAAGCAAGGCCAACTGGTTCTTACAAAATGTAACCTTCCTTTCTTGAATGATTTCAGGGGGCCCCCAAACCCCAAAGTGTGAAAGGGTGGAGACACTCACTCTGCTTTTATCTTTAATCCCCACATGTTCCCTTCTCCAGGAAGCCCTCTGACCCGTAAAGAAATAGCTAACATTTCTTTATCTTGAAGTATTTTTCACCTTTTTGAACTTCCAGGATTGGTATCATTTGGTGAGAACTTCCTAACCCTTTTCTGAAATCTTGAGGGTGGGGTTGGGATCAGGATTGTCTCAAACATGGTTTAAGGGGGGGATGGAATTTAACATAACATGTAACTCTCTCTGTTTGTATGACAAACCTATGCCCATAGTTTATCATTCAGCTCCCCATATGATCACAAGTTTTCTCGCAGGAGAAAATAGTTCTGCTTAGTTGTGGGCAAAAAGTAATTTAATAATAGTACAGTGATCTAAATGGGATATGCAATGTGTTTTGTTGAGGATTTATTTTTTATATATATCCTAATGTAAAAAAGATGAGTCATTTGTGAAGGACACTGGGAAATTCTCTAAGTGGTACTAAGATGTGATTTGATCAGTTTTTAGAGCCTCTTATAATTTAGATTTGGGCAGATTGTTATATGAAAGTTTGTCCCTTTGTCATTCCTATTTGAGTTAATTTATAATTTTGCATGAATTTATTTTGAAATTAGCCCAATGAACAGAGAGATGACTCATTGTAAAACTTCTGTGTGGAATTTGGCATGGTTGTCTGCTTCTCTTCAGGAGATGGTCACAATTGAATTAAGCCAGCCATGATGTATTCAGATACAAGTATCTTGCTCTCAGAAGGTCTGGTTCACCCAGGGCTGCCCTTTGTGTTTGCTAACAGCACTAGAACAATGCTGCAACACTCTGCAGAAAACCCTGCCTGGGATCAAAGAGATTGACTCAGTGAAGACAGCTAAAACAGGGCTGTGTAAGCATTGGGGAAATGGAAAGAATCAAACTTCTCACTTTGGTGTGAACCAAAGAAATAAAGGCCCTTAAACACTTCTCATTCAGAACTGACCATTCAGAGTCTGTCGGCTGATGTGGAACGCAGCAGTGCTCCTGTGGAAAACTTTCTATACTTTTTCTTGAGCGGGCGACAGATCTGTGCTTGCTTTGTTCACTGTACTCCATCCATTAATGTGAGAGGCAGGAAAATAAACGTCATGGAAATTGGCCTGGGGACATAACTGTGACAGGCTCCCACTTGGCCCCCAAGTCCATGTGGTTTGGCTCTGCAGGTCTAGTAATGGACATGCTAAGGGAGCGAGGTGGTAGGGTCTGTGGGAGGGCTGCTCCTCACTCCCTCAAGCTCACACCCCCTGGGAGGTTTAGTTTTTTTCGTTTATTGAAAGCAGATTGATTTGATTTAACCCAAACCGTGGTAAGCTGCACTGTTACTCGGTAAGCTAGTGCAGAACATCTACAGTAGGTGCAAATAGATAAGCTTTAAAGCCATTTACAAAATTCTCATAGGAGATTTACCAACCCGGGTGCAAAATGTATGCACCCACCCTTTACCATGAGGGCTTGTGGCAAGGTCACAGCTAATTATAGTTACTGGCCAATTGCAGTCTAAACTCCCCCTGAGCCGGTGTGGCAGTTAGAATTGTGCTGGGCTGATCTACAGGGTTATTGGTAACACAAGTTTAAAAACACACACACACACAAAAAAAAGTTTTACCAAACTAGAATCTGTAACCTGATGGTGTCCCATTTTAAAAATAAATGGGGACTGATTTGTGGTGTTTGATATTGGGAGTCATACACCTGGTGTGACATATTACCATGTTTCATTAATATGTATCCACCAGCACAAAGCCCCCCAAATGACAATTTTAGATACAGGAGGGGGAGGGGGATTTTTACAAATTTGAAGAAAATATTGAAATTGCCAGAATTGTTGAAGAAGTCAACTTTGATTGCATAACAATAGAATTATGAGCTAGGAGAACGTAACAAAGCTGAGGCAATGTGTAGGCTACTACCAAACTCACCTGGTGGATGGTTTATTTTTAACCAGTTTGTCTCACTTGCTGTGTTTTTCTTCTGAGAGTTCAGTTGTTAATGTAGTGCTCGCAGTAAGTCATTCTTTTATTCTTGCCAGCCGCATTTCTATAGGAGCTATTTGTTTTGCGGTCATATGGCCAGACCTCTCATCATCCCTGTGCCACCACTCCCATTCTCTTCTCCCCCTGCCGCCCCCAAAAAACTAGGAAGGAGCAAACTCCACAAGCCTCTTGCAGATTTCCCGTAGACTAGAGTTCATCACCTCTCCCTCAGAAGATCCCCTGGGATCTAGAGAAGGTAACAGAGGCATCTGGATGGAGGTCCTTTGCATCTGCACCAGCTCACGGCCTCCTTTCCCCTCTCTTACAGCCTTGCATTTCTGCCAGGGACCCATGCTACTGCCCCTAGAAGTTCCTTCCCCTCCTGAAGGGGGTCATTCCTTAGCACAGAGGGACTGTTCCACTGAAAAGTCTACAAATATGCTGTAGCTCCACCACAAGTCATTGAGCTGGATGCAGGCATCAGTGGGTGGAATTCTCTGGCCTGTGTTAAGCCGGAGGTCAGACTGGATGATCTCAGAGGTCCCTTCTGGCCTTAAAACTATGGGGGAGAGGAAGGGAAATGATGGCAGACCTAGGCTGCATTCACTGTTGTACGGGATCCCAGGGGAGGTTGAAGAATGAGAACAGATGCAGTGTCATTGCTGATCCTGAGGAGAGCCTTCTCCTGGGGAGAGCAGCATTAGAAGTTGAGAGATCTGCATGTGCTTGATGAGAAGGATCTGCCCCATTGCAATGAAATATGTTTCCTGGCTGCCTTCAGGAGGATTATTCTGAACTGGAATCGCTGTCTTTCATTTCAGTAAATCGGGACAGCTCCCTAATCCTGTAATAAGAATGTGGGGCTATATTCCTGGAATAGCTCCTGCATCTGTTCCCTAACAGTAGGACTGGTTCCCCTTGCCATGACATTCCCTCCAGCATTTTGCTGTGTATTTTCCTGTCTCCCCACCCCCCACCACTTTTTTGCCTGTCTCTGTTCTTTTAACCGAAGGATCTTAAAGTGCGTATGTACAAATTTAGTGGCAAAAAAGAACACTAGAATAACCTCTTCTAGTAGTA